CAGAATTTCCCGTTTACAGAGCTGCGTGTTTCTGATTGCATAGATCGGAAGAAGTTGCGGAACTTTTTGAAAAGTTGTGCGATGCTATCACCCTCCCCCATTCTGCAATTTAAGCCTTCCCTCGTAAAAACAGATTTCTCTCGTTCCTTGGTTCAATTTACCCTTTAGACCTAAAACCGCAGTTACAAGTTCATTTTAAGACTATTTCATATTTTTTAGCACTCAGCCTGATTCTTGACGTTGAAGTGCTTGTTGTGTTCCAACATGATCTCTGTTTCTCAACACCAGTCGCAGTTACTGATGAAATAACCAAGGAATTTGAATGTTGAGAGCGCACATTTTGTCCGTTAGATGCAACAACTCTGAGGGTGATAGGAAAGCGAAAATATCTGGTGAGTATGAAAAATTCCCACAAATCGATTAGAAGACACACGATAGGTCAAGATTGTAATGCGTGAGAAAGGTTACTTGCACTGGTATCTGTATAGCTCTGCATATTCTAAAGGATTATCCCCTGAAGTTGGATTGCCTTTGGGAATGTTTATTTCTCACGCGGGAGGCTTGGAATTACTGCAAGTCCTTATGCGCAGCTAATTTTCTGATGATCATTGGTCACTCTCTACCCATGCATTACTCTCAACTGACGAGCTGACTTCTCCGTTCATCGCCCCACCGAAGGCGTCCACCGGTCCGTTTCCTTGCTATTGAATTTTATTCTATGTCATCTTTAAGTGCGACGTGTCACCGACTCTCTGATGGGCAAGAAAAATCAGACTCTTCGAATCTTGTATTACTCCACCCGTCTGGATTTTGAGTTCCTATGTGCATGTTGTTACGTATAAGGCTGATCGATAAGAAAGCCTTGGGCCGGTTCGGCGCAAGATGACACAACGCAGCCTATAGGTTGAAGAGAAGGAACTATTCCTCACATTGCCCTTCCGACAAGAGCCGACCAACGAACTTCTACGACGTCAATTAGGCCCCACTATTCGCAAACGCACCCGTCGGACAAGATGAGACTGACTTTGTCAAGCACTCCGCTTCTTTGTCTCGACGGTAACGGTATACTGTCCTTTCTGGCTTCTTTATTCTACATCTTCGCCTCCAGTTGCTTTTGTGGGGCAGGCTATCTTGGTCGAGCAATAAGATGCCAACCCGAGCAGACGCCAGAGCACCATCCTGTCTGACTAAATCAGGACATGGAAATTGCTATCGCCAGTACAGTTGTGGTTCACTTGGTTGAAAGTTGCCACTCGGTCGATGTCAACCAAATATTTGAAGTCATTCATAAAGTGCCGGCAAGGCTCTCCAAGCTACTGCGTCAGTGGATACTTACTACAGCTGAGGCGGTGCCTGTGCGGTTATTTAACCCAATTTTGTGCCTGTATAAGACGTTGGTTCAATCCCAGAAGTATTCCTGGACCACGTTGAACCCATCATGTTCGTGCCCGCATCTTGTCACATCGCTTTACAGTAAGGAAGCTTAAGAATTACTCTTTGGCAGATTCCTCTCCTTTAACCCCCTCCACACATTCCTGGTAGAATAAACTGTTGCTATCCCTGGTTATGATATCTTTCAATGCTGTCAAACCTCTCATTCATGACCCACTGTTCATTGGGTGTCTTCAGTTTTGCCGTTGTATAATTATATTACTGTGCGGTCTGACGAGGAATAGTCGAAAACATGCGCTGGGTGCAGTTGACTTCTTTTATTAAATACAATAACAAAATTTTCCATCCAAACGTCGATAGAGTATATTTCTTAATTTTTCGATCCCGAGCACTTTACCTATATTTTCGCTTGTCGAGCATATCCGCTTATTTCGGATATAATAGTTTCGGTATTACATAATTACCGGAACTCTGCGGAATGAAGGAGACAAAATACTGCGGTCAAACCGTGTTTTTTGTCTTGCACTGTTATTGTGCATTGTGGCTTTACTCTCAAAAAGACGAATCTGCGAAGAAAATATTCAATATCAATGTCCCCTCATAAGCATTTTTTGACTAGTTAGTTATCCGCTCTGCTGATGGGGTATAGCGATTGCAATTGTGCATAAGGTTTCGGACGGCGACCTGTGATACGAGTGCAGGGACTATTTAAGTATTCATTTCGGAAAAGAGGCCTATTCTGACGTGTTCATCAGTATTATCTGTGTGTTCATTCGCATAAATAATTCCTCTTACTAACGGCAATGCACCTACATCTAATAATATACTTCCTCCTAGGGAAATCTCGCTCTGACTAATATCCGCCCTAGCTCAACACGAAATCTCAGTCGAGATACTAACTGGGTTTTCTTTCGATTTCTTCACCAAGTTGCTCAAGGGCAGTAACCGATTTGTCAGGCACACAGAATTTTGCAATATAATTAAAACGGAACAGTTAGGTCGCGTGCTGTGTACGTGCAGGTGCACACGTGCAACTCTGCGTGGAAACCCCCTTCTGACTCATCAATGCTCATTTCTGCGGTGTGAAATGTTTGGGTCCTTTACGGCAACTGACAGGAAGGGAGGATGGCTAAAACGCTGCCCAGCGGGCTTCTGAAGACTGGCCGAATATGCAACTTCAGGCAGTTTAAATGAAAATTCATACCAGTACTGTAGGAATAGAGGTGGGGGTTGACAGAAAGCATCTTCTTTGCTGGTTCCTTAGGTTCTAATTTATCTCTAACCAACAGCTTTTATATAGCCCCAAGCGAGGATGACAGTGTAAATTGATTAGTCGTTGTTTGAGTAGCGCTCATTTCAGTTTCATTTGATACGGACGTACCATATGCGTGCCGTGTTGCATTCAGCAAGTAGGTACTAGTAGCCGATGCAGTGAGAAGTCTAGAAGGGAGAAGCAGGCCGAGAAGAATGACCACAGAGACCATCGAAAGTTGAAAACCTGTTGATGTAGCTGCCGTCTGAATCTGCCTACCGTGGAACATTATTGACACCTTCCCGAGTATGCACAGAACTTCAATTTATAGTGTAGAGGGCACAGATCCTCCCTTGGCGACAGATAAGTGGTTATTGTGGAAATAACTTGACGGTCGGTTGACCAATTGTTGTATGTGAGCGTCAAAAGCAATTTAGTCAACCACGCGCCGTGCGCGAGCTGGTGTCATGCAAGATGATTGGAGGCTTACGCTCCCATACGCTCTTTTGTGGTCGCTGCTCATAAATCGAAACATATTTTCACTCGCAACTCGTCAAAAGACCTACTAAATGGCGTGATCTGCCGCCAAGGTTCCAAGTTTTGCTTTATGAAGGACTAGGAGTGTTTTTGTTGACAACCATGACCGCTCAGGAAAAGGTTGACTACCAAAATAAAAAATAGAAAATTAGATCCGTGCAAGAATAGTCCTTGCGTTGCGTCAGTAGAACATTGTATAACAGTGATCAACGAGCTTCCCTTTTGTCGAATTGATCAACAAAAGTCTATATTCAACAGACAGCTGAAAGATCTCTAGGGAATGTGGTAAAGGATTTTGATGTAGAGGAAGCCGAAGGTGAATGGGTGAAATTCGGAACTTATAAGCACACCTAATCATTTCCAAAAACTTTATAAGTAGACGTGGAGATAAATGATGCAGAAGAAATGCGAAGTTCAATTACAGGTAAGAGTGGGATATTTCCTTGGAATTTGGGATTCATTTTAGCATCAGTTGCCAAAGAATGAGGTCTGTCATCTTTACCGTGCAAGTAAGTTGATAACTGGTCCGCTATATGTGTGGACGTCTATGTTTGATTATAAGCGACCAGGAAGTCACAAAGGCACAAATGACGACAGGTCGAATTACAAATTAAATAGAAGTTCGGAAAATATTCAAACAGGTGGATTGTCTTCCTTCCGGCAGGACCTTTGAAAAAGACGCAAGTTACTAAAAATAAAAAAACTTTCTTTCCGCATTCCAGTTGACAAGTGATGCACATCTCCAGCGAATTTGAAGTAAGGATGTGTTCTTGGATTGCAACCAATAAAAAATCATATGAAGCGACCATTTTTAAAAGGTAAGGCTTAATGTTCCTACACAAATTGCGGTCTCAGGTGGCCATCATACTGTAAAATCTACATGTCCCAAATAACAGACATCTTTGTTATTCACAACCAGGGAGATATTTTGAGGAATTCTGACCGCAGAGAGAAAGTTAATCTTAGGTATCTTGACATCCAGGTAGCACACCTTTGCAAACGGCCACTCCAGTGATTCCTAGATCGAAATCGGCTTTGAAGAATTCGAGGATTTGAAGCAGCCATATTCATGCGCAGTCCGGGGGTAAACTTAAAGAAAGTCTTGCGAACTGCATGCTCGGTGGGTTTGGTTTAGGGACGGTACTGTATGTTGTGTTATAGAATGGCGGTTGTTAATGAACCACTGCGTTCCTCGTAAGCAGAATGAGAAATAACCGGGAAACGGGGAACTACTGAAGTTTAGAAAGGCGTCTATTTTTACGGGACTTCACGCAGATTAAGTTAAAACCGAAAGCACGGGACCAGTTTCCTAACTGTAGAAATTGACGGTGCCAAAATACCGGCTCGTGTCGGATAAAGGCAAGGTCGGAGGATTTAATCGGACGAAATTATGGTCTCCTCCGACGTGACGTCGTTATTCACGTCCATCACACCAAACTTGGCCCGCGAATTCTTGCGCAGGAGACTTGAAGAGGTGTATGACGAGACTCAGAATGCCCTCAAAATTGAACACATCATAAGGCTGTTTGAATTCTGCCAACACACTTTCTTCACTTTCGCTGGAGAGACCTATGAACAAATCAAGGGAACTCCAATGGGCTCGCCGGTCTCCGGTTTAGTGGCAGAACTGGTCCTACAGGAGGTAGAAAAGGTGGCCTTCATACAACACTGTCAGATAAAGTTTTGGATGAACCTTGCCGAACGACCTGCAAAACCCACCACACTAACCGCCGAAAAAAAACGTTGTGCCTCAAAGTCCCCTTCCAAGGAGACGCTGCAGGTGAACTCCTAAGAAAACGCATGACCAAGCTGTCTCGGGAACCATCCCAGCAGCAAGGGTTCGAATATCATTCTCTACTAACCCTATTCAACGCGGAGAAGGCAAGGATAGGTTGCCACCTCAGACCGCCTCAATGTGCATCTAATCATTCACTTGCTCCTGTGGAGCAGGTTATATTGGTCGTACGAGTCGGCGCCTTTCCAAAAGAATACGAGAGCACCTTCCCACATGGCTGGCAAAGGGTGAAACTAGGACAATAGACAGCGCCATCCTTGCGCATGCAGTGGACTCAGGGCATCGTGTGGACCCCACTGAAGCATTTCGTGTGATTTACAAGGTCCCCTCGAGCTACCCTAAGCTACTGGGCCAGCGCCTGTTAGCAACAGCAGAAGCGGCCGCCAGAAGGTTACGAAAACCGACCCTATATGCCCAAAAGAACCTTGTTCAGGCTCCACGCTTACCGTGGTCAAAGGTTGACTAACCACACAACTTTCTGCGCCCTTCCGCTCTTGCCTAGCCTGTAATTTAAAACGTAACTTTTGTCGATTTTGTTCCACTAACTGTACCCCGCCCTATGTAACTGTATTGGCCTGATGAGAATTTACCGAAAGGAACGTTCACTCGCCACTGTCTCTTATGAACAGATTACTCACTGCATACTCGCTTTCCCACACCAAATACCAAATAGAACTTTGGATGATACAGATCAGCTTCTCTAGTTGGTCCCTGCTTCATACCAACATTGGCTTAGAACACCATTTGTCCTCCTTGTGTCCGTAAATCAAGTTATTGAAAGGTGCATTGAGTCTCCGCTAATTAATTATGGAATCTCATTCAGTAAAGCACGAGTGACTTTACGTGAAGAAATCTTGACCGGAAGTATTGTCTGTGGTTTAACAAATATTTTCGGCAGTCTAAGTAGATGGAAAGCTGCCAAATTGAGACGTACGTCTAGATCATACTGCGGGATGAATAACTATCTCTTAAAATGACTGAATTTCCGAACGATCACGCCACGCACTCAACCCATAGTCTCAAACCTTGATGGCCTGGTACTCAGAGCCTTCGATGCAAACATGACTGCAGTGTACACCATTCTATTTAACGAAATCATGAATGGCTTTTTAGGGCATTCCTATCAGTATATGCCAGATTCATTTAAGTTTTGCCGAAATAAAAGTCACGGGAAGTTAACTGCGATTCGGTACTCCCGCTGCGATGAATAATTTGTATAATATGACTTATAAACACGTTACAGTCACACTGAGGAAGCAATTGACCAAGGATATGTAAACTCTCAATGTAGTCCTCACTAACATTATGTCCGTTTTCGACTCTGCAAGTTGGCTTTTAAGTCGATGGAAAACAAGGATTGTGAGAGTAAGAGTTAGGGCTGAGACCACGACATCTAGGGAGAAGGTTAGTTTTAGTGCTATGGTTAGCCGCAAAGTTACGACAGAGGAATAGTTTACTTCCCCCCCCCCTGGGGATTTAGCGCGAGGCCACCTCTAGTGTAGCGGTTCATATTCCCGTGTCTGATCTCAGGCCGTATCGCATTCAGTGCCCGTGAAGTAGAGCAGGGAAGCCTTAAATACGGCATCCCACCTACGGAGGTGTTAGCAAAGGAAAGACATCGACGAGGTGAGAGATCGCACGCAGTTGCTTTACTACTACCCTCACATAAGACTGTTTCTAAAACGGCAATGCGGCCGACAAAACAAAGAACCTGATTGGTCGGGAAGAGAACCTTTATTTCTAATTTGCCACCAGAGATAGATTTCTCTGTAAATGCCTAGTCTCATCACATACTGCGATATACCTGCAAACACCACTTATGCTTTCCGGAAGTGCATATTGCGTTAAATATGGAGGAATCTTGCGATCGATCGCATTCATACGTGGTCCACATATGGGTGAGAGTTGGCATTTAGGCCGACGGCAGTTCACCTCTCTTTTATCGACTTCCCTCTTATAGTTCTTCTTTTAGGAGGATGTGGGCATTCAGTTGCACGACTTCTGACAACCTCTGTTTTGCTTGACCTGGACGTCTACAAATTACAGTAGGTGGGCTAACTCAGGAAATGCCAACTGAAATTCCGAAATGCGTTTTCGTCTGGAAAAAATTAATTAAACGGGGTTGTAAAAGTGGGCATTGTGTAACGTAATTCTACAATAATTCGGTTACTTCAGGATGCAAACTTTAGAAAGAACTTCTTTCTGATTGCATGAAAAGACTTTACTCTGTAAAAATGATTACTTAAGTAGCATGCATTTTTCCCATTAATTTTCGAGGCTCTTAAAAATTCAATTATACTCCGTGGAAAACATGCAAAAAGTATTTAATTTTAAGCTCATTCGGTAGAAAAATTTGTCTTCTTCCAATTCTATACTTGAAGAAGGGGTATAACTCGGTTTTAAAAAATTCCTCATTATGAGATTTTGAATACCGTGAAATGGCCGCTCATAAAACATCGTTCTCCATATCTACTATTGTGGGATGTAAAATGGGCAATGTGTTTCAAATCCACTGGTAACTTATGTGGTCTCCTCTTAATACCGTAGAGAAATGTACAGTTTTCTGCAGTCAGAAAATATATGGCTTGTAGTTTGGAAATCCTGAATGCTATTCTAATGGCAGATCGGGTTCAAAAATACTCGGGAAGCAGACAGGTTTTAAAACTGAATTTTACCCTTTTATCAAGTATAAAATCGAAAAAAGACGTACTTTTCTACAGAATGAGTAAAAAAGGAATATTTTTATGCATGTTTTCATGCAATATAATTGAATATTTGAACGCATCGAAAATCAATGAGAAAATGCATGCTGCTGATGTAGTCATTTTTTTACAGAATATAGTTTTGCATGCAGCGGGAAAGAAGTCCGTTCGAAAGCCGGCATCGTGAAATAATAAAACTGTTATAGAATTATGCTGCACGATGATTTGTTTTACAGCCCTACTCAGTTCATCTTTTCGAAACGAAGACGCACTCTGGAATTTCAGTTGACATTTCGTGAGTTAGCCCACCTAGCAGTAGCTGTCTTGCCTTGAAAAGGAGGACAGATGATAAATGCGCTTATGCTAAACCTCGTCGATGTCTTGTCGCGGAATGCGCGCTCGTCACTGAGGTAGCGATGCGTATCGTCCGAGTTCGAATAACTCCATTTCATGAAGTGGAGCTCTGCGATTTCATGTTCAAGACAGACAAAGAGCGCTGACACCAAAAACTGAGGTATTTTTGATTAAGGTGCACTTCAACATAAATCGACAATTTTGAAATTGGTCAACACGTTTTGACAAGAAAAACTGTGAGTGCCCAATAGAAGGAATAGATGACCTCCACGTCTCTCATGTTTAGGGTGAAACTGCCTAGAATTAACTGATAATGCATTTTTATTGAAATCATTAATGTGTAAATGATTTCAAAGCCCATATAATTTTGAATGTGTTAACAACCACACAAATAATACGCTGACTGGTAAAAGGCCAGCGTTATGGACAAGCCATTATGAAAAAGCTGAGGTTTCCCTAATTCTCTGGAAACTCTCCCACTTTTGGACAGAACAATGAATATTACTCAGAAAAAAATACCTCTAAGTACTCAGAGGGATTCTAGCCCGCAGGGCTCAAGTCGATGTTTTGACACGTATAGGGCAGTCTTGCAAAATCAAAAACTGCTGGTCTTCAACTCGTACCCTCGAAGTCCTGGGCCAGGTATGTTGACGGTACATTAGTCAAAAGATTGATGCTTAGGCTATGAGGGCTCTCCATTCCACTGTGGAAATTGCTTCAGAGGCGACAGCAAGAAGCCTGAAACCTTTCGGGGTTGGGTTGGCCCATAAATTGGCATCAACAATCAGATAGCAGATCGTGAGGCGCAAAAACCGCTGCCAGTGACAATGCAGTCGGCGGTGGTCTATAGCATACAATGCCAAATTTGTGATACAATGTGTGTTGGTGAAACGGGCAATCAAACAGGCGCAAAGTTGCACAAACACTAGCTCGCAGTCAACCGGAAGGCAAAGCTGTCGTTGGTATATGTCTGCATACAACAGCAGAGTCACAGTTTCGCGGTGGAAAACGCTACAGTGGTTGACCGAGAAAATGATAAGATAACCGGAGTGGTGCTCGAAATTTGTCCCTCGACCGACACACGTGACCGAGCCATAGACCTGCATCCCGCCTACCAGGCGCGACGCACAAGGCTTGAGTCCGTTCGAATAGCGTCAATAAAACGAACGAAAAATGTCACCCGGGGTCGAAAGCCGACGCCGGTGGAGAAAAGAGGGGACGTTGACCGCAGGTCACGTGGCCGTCGTACCAGTGAAGCCGAAAGTACTACGCACGAGCGGCAAGGACTGATCCGTTCGCCGACTGAGGAGGGAGAGGCCGATAGGCACGACGACTTAGCTGAAACCGCGGTAGGCACAAGGGGGGGGACAGAGGTCAGGTAAGCCCGCCAATGGTCGACCTCAGGGAAGCCAAAACCGGTCAACAGCAAACGGGCAGGCTGAAGTAGGTGCGTCGAACACGGTTATAATACTAGGCAGGTGGAATGGCTGAGTCAATTAAGGTCAGCAAAATGAGCCAATTAACTACTCTGATGACGGAAACGCGCGTTTCCGAAACGTCAGTATGAATCCACTTTGGTCCATGAAATCTCCTCTTCTTAATGGGATAATAAACATGACGAATGTATGTTCACGTATGTTGTTGTATAAAATACTGGCCAGTGTACGCTGTTGACCATGATGTGTTGTGGTGCGCCTAGCTGCGGGTTCTCGCCGTACCAGCCACCTCCGCCCTCTCTCGTCTCCGGTCTTCTTGACCATGTCTTGACACCAGATCCAGGCGGGGAAGGATGGGGGAGTGCTGTAGATGCTGAGCAAGCCTACTATCCGTAGGAGCTAATTCACGCACAAGTCGCCGTCCCTGTTCTCACTTTGCTGTGGGGCACACGGTGGACATCACCGGTCGCGACGACCAAACAAGTGCTCGTTAGGCCTAGTTTTC